ACCAACACCCTGTCATCCCTGGCACCTTCATCAGGTTGTCCCAGGATGGGCTGCCTATCGCCAGAACCTTGCCTGCCCACTGCAACCTTATTTGAAGGAGTTACAGGACTGACAAAGCCACAATAAGCAGGATTAGAGACCAAATGATCAAAGGAATGCAGAAGTAGTTTGCGGGTTATCGCCTACATAGACTTTGAGACTTGAAAATAGGACCACAATTAGGAGGATCGTTTATACTCTAGGTTTTGGCCCAGAGTGTAATTCTTGCCAGTGGTGAAATGTTTATTTTTTCATTTAGGAATCTCCAATAGTCCCAGCTATCTTGTCTGAGACATTGCAAGGAATTTATGTCAAGTCTGATTACATACAATTACATCATCATCATCATCATCTTTTTTTTTTTTCTAAATCGAGAAGACAGGAAAAAGAATCAGAATATAATTGGTGGAGTATTTCTACACTGATTTTAGGAGAAAGCATCCTAAGAAAAATCTTAATCTTGACTATTTTTAAGATGGTATTTTTATCCTCCATTGCCTTCAGCTCCCTGAACCCCCCAAGTTTAGACTATAAAACTGATTGTGGTTGTCAAGTCGAACACACAGAATCATAAACCATTTTTGCAACCTCGCGCCAAACACTGGGAATTACTGGCAAGAGCGAGGTGGCAAATGACTCTCATACAGCCCAAGTCATCAGAAATACGTGTGCCTCAGGAAAAAGGCAGGCCGTCGGCACCTCCTCACGCTGCTGCTGCAGCCGCTTCTGGTCCTTTCCGTCTGCACCACACATTCTGACACTCAACCTCAAGTCATATTGAACAGTCTAACACTTACGTTCCGCCTTCCAGAGAAAACCACGTCCTTTGGAGACAAGACCTTGGGCTTTTCTGTTATAGTCAACGTGATCTATGATTCTCAGCCGCATGAAGAAGGCAGCTGGACCCTCCCTGCCTTACTGAGCTTCTCCTGGGACAGACACCTGCCATGTGTGTTTTATTCCTGCAAGGGGACTCATAACCTAGGGCAAATATCCAGTCACCTCGTTCATCTGCCAGGCCGCTCCAATGAGCTGGCAGCAAAGACCATTTCTAATTTTAACACTGAGAACATGAAATACTTTTACTTTCAAAGAGCATCTACAGTTTCTTACTTTCACGATTCACCCAACCTTGATCAACAGGCATTTTATGGATGAATGGTGGGCACGTGGGGGCATGGATGGCTGCCCCCAGATTTCCAACTGGTGCCCTCTGACCCTCCTCCCTCTCTCAGCCGCCTCCTTTGCATCACTGTATAGGTGGAGAGACCGCAGAGACTGAAAGAAGCATGCTGGCTGCTGGCTCACTTAGTGATGGGGAATCAGACCCAGACTTGCAATCCCCAATAGAAGGAAGCTGTTGAAATAAGTTACCCTGGCTGTAGTCTTTCTGATTCTAAATACAGAAAAATACTCAGAATCACCAGGGGGCGGGGGGGGGGGGGGGAGAAATCCGGTCAAATATCTTCCCAAAGAGTTCCAAAGATGAAAACTGGTTTCTATATTTGAAGAGTGGCGCTCAAATGAAAGCATCTTCAACAAGGGTGCTGGGATAATTGGTCACCACATGCAAAAAAAAAAAAAAAAAAGAAGAAGAAGAACCAAGACCCTTTTCTAACACCAAAATTCTAATCAAAATGGATTAAAGACCTTGATACCAAAATTGAATCAATAAGGTATATAGAAGTAAACATAAACAGAACTCTTTATGATGTTGAAGCTAGAGGTATCTTTAAGGATGAAAAGCCACTAACCAAGCAAGTGGGAACAAGAATAATCAAATGGGACTACATTATATTAAGAAGCTTCTGCATCTCAATGGAAACAAGGACCAGAATACAAAGATAACTGACTACCCCTCATCTGATAAAGGGTTATACCCTAGATACATAAAGCATTGGTAGAACTTTTTTTAAAAAAAAGAAACAAAACCTCTTACCCCATAAAAATGTGGGGAAAAGAGATGAATAGAAACTTCCTCAAAGAAGAAATACAAATAGCCCAAAAGCAAAAGAAAAAAGTGCTTTATATCACTAACCATTGGGGAAATGCAAATCAAATTAACAATGAGATATTATCTCACACAGGAGAGACTGGCACTCATCAAAAAAGAACAACAATAATCAATGTTGGCATGGATGTGAGGAGGGAAAAGGACCCTTATTCACTGCTGGAGGGGCTGTCAACTGGCCCAGCCTTTTTGGAATATATCAAAAAAACTAGGAATAGAGCTTCTGTACAACTCAGCTATTCTTCTTCTGAGAAAATGACCCAAGGGCCCTAAAACAATGCAGAAAAGCCATCTGAATTTCTATGTTCATTGCAGCACTTTTCAATTAGCCAACATCTGGAAACAACTCAAGTGCTCAAGAACAGATGATTGGATAAAGAAGCTATGGTACATCTACACAATGGAATACTACTCAACCAGAACAAGAGATGGATGAATCTGAAGAGTATCATGCTGAATGAAATGAGTCAAAGGGAGAGGGAGAGACTCAGACTGATCTCACTCATATGCCAGATGTAAAGGAGCATAGTAGGGAATAACGAATGTCAAAAAGCAATGGAAAGGAAGAGCAGGAGAACAGGCCCTTAGCCGGAATCTTGTGTCTCTGAGGGAGGGACAAAGAGGAAAGGGGTGACTCGGTACAAGGACTGGCTGAAAGGAAGTAAAGTGATATGCATGATACTGTACCAGTAACAATATTGCAAACCACAGTGCCTAACAGGAAAAAAAACAGAAAAAAGTACTTGCCATTGGGAAGGGGCAGGGGGTGGGGGGCCTAGAGGGAAACTGGGGGCAAGGGTGGAGAAGTGGATGCTGGTGAAGAAGGGATTGGTGTTGGAACCCTGTACACCTGAAATTCAATCATGAACAACATTCATGGTGATTCATTAAAAACTTTTTTTAAAATTGGTGCTCAACTATTTAGGGTTTTTTTTTTTTTTTTGCTTTTTGGGTCCAGGCGATGCACAGGGGTTACTCCTGTCTCTGCACTCAGGAGTTACTCCTGGCGGTGCTCAGGGGACCATATGGGATGCTGGGAATCGAACCCGGGTCGGCCGCATGCAAAGCAAACACCCTATCCGCTGTGCTATCTCTCCAGTCCCTCAACCGTTTAGCTTTAAGGATCAGAAAATACCTCCCACAAATGGTTAACTAGGGATTGGGGCTCAAATGGTTGAGCACACGATAGAGCACCTGCCTGGTTGCAAGAGGCCAGGATTCAATCCTCAGGGACCCCCCCCCCCCCCCCCCCCCGCCTCAGCACCTCCCCATTCAACAATGAAAAAGGTTAATTATCTGGGCAAGAGATGGACTTTCCCTTGTAACTATCTCTCCAAACTCCTGGATGGACTTATACAACATTTCTCTTTGCTTTTCTCTCTGTTGTTTGGGGCCACACCTGGCTGTGCTTGGGGATAGACTCCTGGTTCTGCACTCAGGGATCACTCTTGGGATGCCGGAGTAGAAATTTGGAGTGGCTGCATGCAAGCCTAGTACTCTCCCCATTGTACCCTCTCTCCAGCCTTCTCTGCTTTCCTTGAATAACTGAGGAAGTTCACTCTCTCCTCCTTTGGTGCTCTACCAGGCACTGTCCATGAAGTGACCCACCCACGGCAGTTTCAGAAGGCTAATACCTCTTCCACCCCACTGAGGTCCTGGAACCAAAGCCCTGAAAGTCTGTCTGATCTCCCCAGAAGCAGGAGAGCTAGAGCCTAGCCAGGCCCTGTGGCCATGCTCTGAGCCGAGTCGAAGCATAGCACCCAGCAGCCCCACTGGAGCACTGGTGAGCACCAGGACTGTGACTTAGACAAAAGCTCTCCTCCACTCCCCATCCTGACTGACATCCTCACACTTGCCCCTGCCTACCACTCCCCGCCTCTGGCCTTGCCCAGCCTAATAGAAGAATATCCTCACCAACACGGCTGCAGGCCTAAGGCCTCACCCAGAACCCCAAAACCGCCCCTCACCCGTCAGTCCCTCCTGAGGGGTCTCACTCCACCCCCTGCCTTTTTGTGTACTCTCACTTGGGGCATCCCTTTTATCTCCTGAATCTTCTGGATGCTTCTAACCAGCGTCCACTTTTAAAGAAATGCTGAACAAACTCCAGCTCTGGATCCTCTTCCACCTTCTGAGCAAGTGAGAAGGGGGTCAGTCAGATGAGGCTTCTCAAGCCTGTTGCTCACCCCTTTAACACTGCACCCGGCTGCACCCCCTGGGGGTTTCTGCTAAGGTCGCTGCTGGCCACTGCCCTCCATGTCTCCTACTCCAGGCACCAAACTCCTTCTGGAAACCTCTACTCTGGGCCTCCAGATCCCACTCTCTGCCCTCTCCTCCCCCGTCGGCTATCCCTGTTCTGCCCAGTGCTGTCATTTGTTGCTTCTAGAAACCTTCACTGCCCCTCACTACCTGGCTCATCCCAGCAACTCTCCACATTTGCAGCTCCCAGTTCATGCTTGCCTGGAACCTGCTCGGCAGAGCCAGGCACAGGAAAGTCACCTGAACCCCCAACCCCCACCCCCGGCCCCCAGAATCCCTCAATTGAAGTTGATTCCATCTCAGAACCCCTCCCCCTGCAGGCACCTTCCTTCCCTGCTCTCCTCTGATGAAGGGGACAACCTCCCACACTGCACCTGAGCACTGTCACTGAAGGGCTAACTCCTTAGCAGGGTGGGGTTGGGGGGAGTGTCCTGCAAGAAAAAACACCCCAGCTCCAGGAAAGTGATTCTGTATGGCAGCACCTTGCACCTTCCCTTCCTATGGCATGTGACACGAAAGCCACACACCATGTCGGCCTCACTGGCAGGACAAGCCTCGCTCTTCCCACGTACCAGGTCCCAACTGTGCATCTCAGGACTGCAGGCACTCACTTGAAAGCCTGCTGTGCTGAACCTGCCAAAGAAATGGCAGGACTTCCCTGACACCAACTAAGCAGACGCCACCAGGTACTCACCGAAACCCCGCGGGTCAGGACTCTGCAGAGCTCATTCTGGAAAGGCAGCAGCCCAGGGGTCCATCCAGGAGCCCCTTTCTCAGAAGGGCCTCACCTGGGGGGCGGGGGGAGAAAGTAAAGGTTTCCAAGTGGGTTTTTGACAAAACGAACCATATCATTTGAGGGTGGTGGGGGTGGTGGAGGGTTTGGGGCCACACCCGACTGTGCTCAGGGCTTACTCCTGGCTCTGCTCTCAGGGATCACTCTTGGCAGGCTCAGGGGACCATATGGGATGCTGGGGATCTAACCAGGATAAGCAGAGTGTAAGGCAAATGCCTTACTTGAAGTAGTATTGTCTTGTTGCTAAGTACCTTAGAAGAAGAGGTTTTCTGTCATACAGTGCATTTCAGGGGTCACTGTAAGCACCCATGGGAAGGAATCGACTTCATTCATGACAAACTGTGTTACTCATGCTGCAGATCTCTCCAGGCCCATCTGACTGTCCTTCCTTCCCAACTGCGTACTAAAAAAAACTAAGTACAAATTTCAACTTTTTAACTTTGAGGCCTGGAAGCACTGGGCTGGGACACAGAGAGATGGGGTGCAGGCTCACCCGTAGGAGCCCCAGGACCAGCATCACGTGATCCCCTGGGCAGGTACAGGGTGTGGCCAAAGCAATTCATTTGCTCTTTAAAAACTACCTCACAGTCTTGCTTCTGTCCATTCCTCATTAGGACAGACTTGCAGACTTGGGAGCAGACCATCATGGGGAGCCAGAGAGACTCTCAGGATGCATCTGAGGTGGTCGCAGGCCCAGGATGTGCACTGGGATTTCCTCCCTAGTCTCTGCCGAGATGCTGGTTGGCGAGCACGCAGCCAGGAAACCCCCTTTCCACCACGGCACAGGAGTCCAGGCTGATCAGCCCAGCCAGAGATCCCTGTGATCATCACACTGGTGCTCGAGGTATGGCAAACACTACCCTGAACTGAACACTGACTGACACTCAAGCTATGAGTCAAACAGAGCTGTTCCCCAAATGGCCCTTGGAAGCCTGACTTATGACACAGGGCCGCCCCCTCTGCCTAAAATTTACAAAGATTTCAAACTGCAAGGGAGGACCAAATCCCAGACTGCTGCAAGGCCAGATTACTTAGGAATTTTTAAGATGAGGCTGTAAGATCACTGCAATGTTTTAAATGAGTTCCTCACTAGAATTTATCTGACCAGGCTGGGAATCACCTCTAGAATTCGATTTTAACTCTCCTGGTGCTCCATTTCACTTTCCTGCTGCAAGAAGTCAAGCTTACAACTATGTCATGTTTAACAAATTTCATTTCTATGCTATGACCACTACGCCATAAAAGGCATAGTAGCAAACTTAGAATGTGGAACTAAAAGGCCTCAGGATTCCATTCCTAGCTCATTCTTAACTTCTCGCATGCCAACTACTAAAAGGTTTCCTCTGAGAAGAAAAGTGCTCAGCAGGAAGAACTAATCATCCCCCAACATGGAGAGCAAATAAAACGTACCCCGGGTATGTAAGAAAACTTGGTCTAAACAAAATCCCAGCGCTTGTTTTCATATTCAAAGGGTGAAAATACATCCATTGTCTTCCAAGCTAACAGACTCTAGGCATACAAATAAAAAAATTTCTAAAGCCGACCAAGGAGCTGTCAACATTTAAGCACTTGAAACGAATTTTAACCATCACCATTTTAAATAATGGCTATCCAAAGCAAAATTTCAGCAAAAATGCCCCTTCTCTACAAAACCCTCAATTTCCAACCAACCCCAGGAACACTGTCTGTGGCCCCCAAACACAACAAGCCTATTACAAGGCTAATTAAACCCTGTCTCTGAAGTGTATGAACAGAGTCACTAAACCAGCACCCACTACCCAACAGGAACGCTGTGGACCCAGAAAGTACAGTGAAGCTGGGACTTATTCCAATGAGGCTAAGGTGATACCTGAGTTCTCTTCTTAGGAAAGTGGAAGAGTGTACAGGGAAGTCTAAGGCAGCTGCACTTTCCGCTGTGACTTGCATCTGACTGGATGGCCTTTGTTTGGGAACTGCTACAGTAACGGATAAGTGGTGTCTACACTTTCAAGTGAACAAGTGTGGTCTGGACTTACAAGCATCCCATGTACAGAAATAAAAATCTAACACGCCAACTGAATTACAGAAGTTACGTGATCGTGATATTCTTTACCTTTCAAGATGTCGAATTTGCTCTCTCTTCTACATTGGGACACAGAGGAACTTTCCAGAATGATCTCTGTCCTCCCAGGAGGAACTTTGGAGTCAAAGAGGAGCAACACCAGCTAGTCCTGCCTTCAGTCCTACAGAGATGAGAAGAATAAAACAGTTCACACTCTAATTTATGCTGACCGCGAAGAAAGCCATCCACTCCCCAAGTGCTGTGTAGGCAAGAGGGCTTGGAAGAAGGAATAGTAAGACAGGAAGATGGTGAAAGGTACAGGAGTTAGAGTACTACAATCCAAGATAGGAGGAGCTACAGCACTACCCAGAGCTATTCTGTGAAGGCTGGGGGAAGGGATGCGGTTAGGAAAGAATAAAACTCTCACTGGAATCAGTTTTTATCTTTCTTTGTAGCTAAGAATAGTCACCCCAAGTTGCCAAAGGTACATTTATCTCTTATCTTCTCTATGCCCCTGCTTTTAGAATAACAGAGAAGCAGAAAATAAATTGCAAAGCCTAAAATGCAAGAGGCCAGTTGAGAGCTTAACTCTGAGAAACCAAGTGGTGGAGGGTAATTTTATTTTTGTTCTTAATTCTTGGCTTTTGGGGAATACCTGGTGGTGCTTAAGACTTATTTCTGGCTCTGGGCTCAAGAATCACACCTGACTGCATTGGGGGACCCTATGGGGTGTCAGGGATTGAACCCTGGCCCGCCATGTGCTAGGCAAACGCCTTACTGCCTGTGCTAGAGCAAAGGTTCTTAGCCTGGAGGTCACAGCCACTGCAGAGACACTCAAGGGAGCAGCCGGGGCACAACTGAGCTTGTCAGGGAAAACTTGGATCTTCAGACTCAATAACCTCACATTCTTCACCCGAGAATGTGAGTGCCACCACTGGACGTGTCAGCAACACCGTGACCATGTCCTAAGAGTGGCCACAAAACAGCTACCCCACTTTACAATACACTCATCTCCCCTCCGAAACTATACCCTGATACCTGCTTCCAAGTCATTTGTGATTCTATACATTTGAAGCCACACATTCAAAAGGTAGACACCTTTAAAGGGTGATGGTGTCACATTAGCCTGCTACAGGGGACATGGAACTCCAAGGACCAAGAACCTAGAGCACAGGAAGTTTTTTTGCAGCCCCCAGGGCAGACCCCAAAGGTCATACATGCCTCCCACCCCCTCAAGAAAACCAAGCCATCAGGAAGCCAACGACCATGTTCAAGGTCACACGAACTCTGCGTGGGCATCAGCCTGGCTTAGCACTCACCACACAGGCACACAAAGTCCGCTCCCATGGGGACCTTTGCTTGCATTTCCATAACTGTCATCACTATTAGTCCTACCACTACATGGGGAGGAGGTATCGTCTTTCAAAAGTTACAGAAAACCCAAACCTTGACAAGAGAACAATACAGATGCAGCAAGTCCTCCCTTCTGCTCCCCTATGAGGTGTGCGGCTCTATCACCAAAAGCTGCATAGGTATGCTCCCAGGACAGCAGTTTTGGAGAAGCGAGGGAAAACCCTGAACTCCATCACCTCCTTCCCGGAGATGTTCCAAGCACTCTGCAGAGAAGCATTCACTTCTTACAAACTACAGAGCATTATGAGTGGTCAGGTTGTACTATCACTTCACAAAGGAGTAAAGTGGAGGATAAACGTGAGAGATTTGGCCAAAATCAGACAGAAGTCGATGAGAGAACCAACTTCCTGATTCTTAGTTCAAGGCTTGGACCACTATTATTCTGAGGTACCATAATCAAATATTTAGTTGCGACTATAATGCTTGTGAAATCTCTTTTCTCCCCTACATGTCAGAGAGCATTTTCTATTGATTCACAGGCACTGACTCTTTTGAAGGCTGTAGCCCATAGCCCATAGAGCAAATTCCTACACATGAAAGTACTTTTTCACTTGTGTTAAGTCATCTTGGAATCCAGATCAGGAATCCTGAGTTCAAGAGCCAAGTTACACACGTTGCCTTCTAAGAGAACAGAATGGAAATGATTCATTTTTTAGTTCATGACCTCCTTATCTACCATAGAGAGTGGTGGGCCAGAGAGAGACACCCTTTGGAACACCATTGTATATCCAACACTGTTATGACAAAATAGCAATATTTCCTAAGTGGGCAATCACACCCTACTCTGCTGGAATGATTGTGGGATGAGAGGCAGCAGAGATGTGGAATGGAGAAGGGTTGCGTTTCACTTAAAGAACATAGATTTCCAGGAGCTAACAGGTGACTTTTTTTCTTTTACTTTTCTTTTTTTCTGAAAAGGGGGCAGTAGGCCAAATAGCTTTTGGGCAGCTCTAATTGAACCCTTATTCTTCCAAGCTTCCTTATGCCATCTAACTTCTCTTTTTATTAACCTACCTCTGCCATTAATGGCTTGGAACCTTTGAAGAGTAAGGAGGTCTTTCTTATATCTGTACATCGGAGCATAATACCATTTCACACTCACATTTCACCCTGGCTAAAACTTCCCAAATCACTAGCATCCGGTTGAAATAAGATCAACAGGACAATTCGGTGGCACCATCTCCACAATCAATCAGGTCTCTTAACTCACACAATCTCAACCACCAAGAGCCGATTCCCCACTACCCCTAACTCCTGATGCTCCCTCCTAACTCCTGAAGCCCGCTGGGGGCATGGGAGCCCCAATCGGTGGCCTAAGAGAGAACTTCGTTCCCGAATATATCAAAGGCTCACCATGCCAAGACCCAAACACAAGTCTTACATAGACATGTAACTATGCCCCCACAGCATGGCATCCACCCATGTGTGCCTTCCACAAAGTCCAACTCCTCTGCACCCACCCTAGCCCACTCAGTCTACCAGGAGACCATCACTCCCATTTCCCCAACTGGCTCTAGTAACTTACCAATGCCAAACGGGGCCCCCATTTAGGCTCTAGATCATTCCTCTATCTCCTAAGGCTCGTGGGTGCGGCCCTTATTGCAGACCAGCTCTACAGGACACTTCAGGCCTGGCCTCTGAGCCTGCAGGCAGCATTCACAGGCCTCTGGTCCTTCCCTCTCAACCTATCCACGAGTCTGCTGCTGGCTCGGGACATCTCCATTCCACCAGCCTCGCCCCATACTCTCCAGTGACATCTTAATAGTCTGCAACTTTCAAAGGCCAGAGCCTGGGCTGCAACTGCTAAGCCCCGGGCGACCCCTGTCGTGCCCAGGACCACCCCTCCCTTCCTGGCTCAGGACCTGGACCTCAGCAGCTCACCTGCTGGAGCCTTTTACAACTCAGACCTTCCCCACAGCTTCTGCCCCCCACCCCCGCCTTCAACAAGTCACCGGCCTGCAAAGTCCCCTTCTCCTCCGCATCTCCGCGAGGCGAGGCCCCTCGCCTTTCAGAGCCCCCCGCCTCGCGCCCCGGCACCCTACGGCCCTGAGACCGTCCCATCTTCTCCTTGAACCTCTGCAAACAGGGTTCGGGACACGGAGCCTGCAACCCCCCCACCCCGAGCCGCTCCACCTCCCCGCGCCCGGCGCAAGGACGACCCCTCGCCCCCACCCCCCCATCCGCGACCTCGACCCGTGCCCCCCGCCGCGCACGGCGCCCCGGCCCCAGCCCGCTCCCGGCACGCGGGCGCCCCCCACCCGCTGCTCCCCGCCCCGAGCGCTCACCCCGGGCCGGCGGGGCGGGAGGCGCGCGGAGGGCGGCGCGGTGCCGGCGGCGCTCAGCCCCGGGGGGCCGGGGCCCGGGCCAGCGGCGGCGGCGGCGGCGCCGTCCCACTCCCGCAGGCCCACATAGGCTCCATTGTCCGCCGGCGCCTCCCCCTTTCCGGCCCCCTCCCGGCCCCGCCCCTGCCCTCCCCGGCCCTGCCCCCGCCGCGCCGCGCCGCGCCGCGGAAGGGGCCGCCCGCCCCGCCTCGGACGCGGGCGGAGACGGCCCCTCCCCCGCGGCCCGCCCCGCGCCCGGGCCGCCGCCGCCGCCGCCGCCCGCCGGGCCCGCCCCCTCCCCCGGCAGATCCCCGTCCCCCTCCCGGAAGGCGCGCGATGGTACCAACCCGGCCGCTTCCTCCTCCCCCGCCCCGGCCGCCCCGGCGAGTCCCCGCCCCGGACCCGCCCACCGCCCCGCCCCAGACCCGCCCCTCCTGCTGACCTCTTACTACGGGGCCGCCCCTGCGGCTCCGCCCCCTTCTTTGCATGGACACGCCCACCGGCGGCCCTCTGCGGTTCGTCACCGGACCGGAGGGGGACACCCACTCCCCGCCTTAAAGAGGCAGAGCCCCCTTTCCGAACTGAGGCTCCCCGAAGGGCTGGGCGCGGGGCTGGAGGTGCGGCCCCCAGGGTCTCTTCGGTTCCGCACCTTCCGGGCTGCGCGCACACCCCGCCGCCCCCGGCAGCACCGGGGGACCCCCCGCAGGGGCTGGAAAAGGCGCGGAAGGGGGAAGGGCAGCGTGGTCTTTGGCCATCTTTGATGGAAACCAGTTGGGAGCTGCCTGCGCTTCCCGCGTCCTTCCTGCCCGGCCGGGGCCTAGTCCTCGGTCTTCTGGGCGACCCCAGTCCCACCGGGACGCGGCCGCACTCCGCGCCCGGGCGCTGCCGTCCTGCCCGGGGCCGGACCCGCCCGGGGCTGCGCGCTCCTGCCCGCGCTGCGGAGCCGCTCCTCGCCGAGCCCTGCGGACGTGCTGCTGGCCCCAGGCTCGGTCCACGGCGGCTGCCCGCCAGCCCCGGGCACTCGTCGTCGTCGCGCCTTCCTGCCCCGGGAGCACCTTCTGCCCAGATCTCGCCAACACTTCCCCACCGTGCGGCGGCGTCGCGACCCCCCGGCGTTCCGCGGGGCCACGGCTTGGCGGGGCTCAGAGCCCCTGCACCCGGCACCCCGGCACTCGCCCCTGCAGAGCCACAGGGCGGACCATTAAACCACACTTTTCCCTCCCGTGAGGAAAATGACGGCGTCGTGGCGAGCGCGTGTTGCCGAAGGAAGCTCAGCTCCTCTCTATTCCTGGTTTATTTTAGAGGCCCAGGATGCTGCCCTAACCAGATGCTGTTGCAGAGCCGTCTACTCCAGACTCCTGCACCCCCAACGCCTCCCCGCCCCCAGGAAAAAATTCCGCCGCTCACAAACACGCGGTGGTTACACCTCTGTGCTTGGCAGAGCCTG